TAAGATGCTAATCTGATGACATCGGGGTTTGACATGAGTTCTTGCTCCCAAACTATTTCAGAAGAAAGACTATTTATTATGGCCACTTTCCCTTTCCTAGCATCTGACTGCAATTCCTTTCCTCTGCACTTTCAGTTGGCATGTAACTATACAAACAGCTGATACATCTATTATTCATCACAGAAGAAAGGGAACAAAAGAACAAAAAGTGGGAAGTGAGGAGGGAGCTTGCTTAGGCAGTTCTGCTACTGGTGAAATGCAGTCTTTCGGTCAGCCCCACAGCTGCTTTTTTGCTCCTCATCACATTTAAACCCTCTTGCACCTTTAGCTACACTGATCCAGCTGTTTGCAGGCTGTGTTCTAGCTGCATGGGATGAAGACAACCATTTTTAACTGGTTCTTTTTTCAAAATTGATTATTGGCTATGCCTGCTAGGCAAGGCGGTCAGCCCCATGTGTCTTTATATAAGCAAACCATCTTTATATAAGCAAAGCTGTGCTCTTGGTTATATTATTTTCCCTACTTTGGCCAAAATATACTATGCCAGTGAAAGTAACTTCAGATATGTCTTTGCCTGTGTATGAGGTTTTGCCAGTGCAAATATATTTATCAGAGAATGTTCATCATCATCTTTATTACCAGTATAATTATGTCAGCAGAAGTGTCTGCAGAGGTTTAAGCATTTAGTACAAACTCAGCTTATTTGGAAAAATTAGTGTCAAAAAGGTGACTGTCAGAAAGATTATTATATGTTCGAATCAAACACCACCATTTTTTTAACCTGAGGTTCCTAAACTCTGACTAAAACCAAAACCTGGTTTAGAAGGCATCTGATCCCATCTGATACTTGGTTTGTGGGAGTCTGTTGATCTGACTAATTTTTTTTGCATTTGTTTTATTCTGAAAAGCTTTTTTGTTAAGCTCTGCTGATGGCAATAATGGAACAGTTAACTGGACGACTAAGCAAGCCCACAGTTATATTATCAGCAGAATAAAGGCTGTTGAGAAGAATGGTGAGTTTAGGTTGTAAGTTTAAATCCCATGTTGGTTCAGTCAAATCTGCTTTTAATATCACTCTTGCTTTTTCAGTCATGTCCTTGTTTTAGGAATAAGGTGCTATTTCAAGGTAAGTAATTTGGAAAATTTTACATTTCTTCAATCTTTTAAACATTCACAGACCTGCGTGAGTCTTCTGCAACTTTTCCTATTCCTACAGCTTTGCTTGAAATAATGGCTGTGTGTGTACCTAATATTGCACATTTTCTTATCATGGCTGGTTGCTTGGAGATACCTCTGTCTGCAGTTTGCTTAATACAATAACTTGTCTGTAACAATTTAAAAAAATCTTTTCATATACATATGTATAGAGACTATTTTACTGTCATTTATGCAAGTACACATAGAATATTTTAGCTAGTGTACGCTAGCTGAGAAAAGGCTTTGCACTGATTGCCATCCAGGCAGGCAATCTGAATTGGCTCCCAAGTCAAGTTATTTCTGGGATTGTGCTTCATCTGCTAAAAATCAATGGGGAGAGAACCCATTGGAATTCCTAGAAGAAATTTGCAGGTGGATTTTTTTCTGAAGATCATCAACATACAGGCTTCAACCAACATGGTAAATCTTCTGAAATTTCTGGAGATGGGGGTCATCTGTATCTGATAACAGGCTCTGGGCTGGAGGCTGATACAATCCTAGTTGAATTCCTGGCTGTGCCCATGTTCAAGACCTACAAGAACAACTGAGACAGTGCCTGTACGTTTCAAAAAGAGTGATGCATGTTTTCCAACCTTCATTTCCCAGTTAATCTACTTCTTTCCCAATCTCCAGAACTTCTAACCTTTCTGCACAGATATATCTTGGGATCTACAGAAAGTCCTCCAAGGGATATGGAAACAAGAAAGAAGAAAACAGTGCTGTCAAGGTAGCTGCTACTGTCTTTTTTTCTAGCAGGGATCTGTTGTGATCCTAAGTAGTGAAGATTTTTAATTTCCCATGGTTAGTTTTACAGAAGCCTTTCACAGTCCCTGAGATTTTTTTATTTGCCCGGGAGTTTGCCCAGGCAATTCACATCTGGCAGTCTGCTGTATTAGATTAGTATCTAGAAGTTGGTAAGTATATTCAGTTTCATCCCTAGATCGCCTAAGATGATTACACATTCGTCTCCAGTCTCAAGCAGTCTTATGAAAAAAATTGTGGGTTTTAAAAGCTTCTGAAGAAAATAGCATTTCACTTGTTTCATTATTGAAAAGCAGTGATTGCTGTAGTGGGCTGAAGACTCATCATTTTCCTTCTGGTTTTGAAGGAACTTCATAGGGGAAAAAGAAGAGGGCTTCCCTGACAAGGGCGGCGAGAACTTTCGAATTCTTAATCTCCATATTTGTGTCATTACAAAGTGTTTGTCATTATAAGATAAAATAGGTTTGTGGGCTTTTTCCTTCTGAGAGGCATTTTTAGACTTCCACCAAGATCACTCCTTTGTATCTTCATGAAGTCCTTATTGGTATGCTTACTTCAGCAACAGAGAACGTCTCATTACTAGGAATGATTAGGCATTTAGTGGTGGCAATAGATTTCCTCTAACAGGCAAAAGAAATATGTTATATGGGTTTTTTTCAGTAACTGCTTCTATTATCCCTCTTGCTTTCTAAAACTATTGCTTATGGAGAAAATATACATTGCTTTTTCACTGTTCTTCCTGTTTGAAATGGATTTTCATTGTAGAGTCAAAGCATCAGAAATGGAGAATGGATTTTTCTAGATATCTGGTGCATTTTCAGCCAGCCACCATATTTTTGTCAACTTTTCTGCTCTATTAATGTTATAAATTACTTTTTTAAGCTTTTCTTGAAAAATTCTTAACGGAAATTAATTAGTTTCCTTGCTCTATTTACAGCTTATTCACAGAAGTGAGGTGCAAAAGTTTTTTGGGTCATCAATTTACTAATTTTAATTATACAAATCAGATAGCTATGTTACTGTACTTAAGTCTACATAATTAAAATTACAGTAACTGGTTTATTAACCACACAAAATTGTAATAAACTATTTAAATTTCAGGATCCATTTTAATTTTGTCTTTAAGGTTAAATTATTAGAAAGATACTCTGTTCAGTACTGTGATAAAAACGGTTTCCAAAAGTGGGAAAAAGCAACTGCTGTGGAATTTGATCAATAGTATATCCAGAGCTTCAGATTATTAATTCTGCAATATGAGGCTTGAAAAGTGGGAAGTATGTAACTAAATGTAGGGGTCTACATTACAGATGTCTGCATCTCCTCTCAGCTGTCTCTGCAGTCAGTGGAGATCTAGTCAGTGTAGTCAGGAATCTAGGACGTGATTCATCTCATTTTACAGGAGAAATCAAATTAATCAACCCCTAGAAGTGTCTGTTTCTTTTCCACTGACTATAAAAGGAGCCTGACTAACTCAGTGGTGGATGTTGTTTCTGTAGGCATCTAAAATTAGGTGAGAGAGATTCCATACAGAATACGTGGTGCAAGGGATGGAATGTCACCTAATTAGCAGTGGCTTTTTAAGCGGATCTCAAGTAAGAAGGTTGGTATAATGGTAAGGCTGGAAAAATTATACCAGGATTAGAAAATTACATGAGCTTGATCCACATTTCAAATGCATCTTGCTTATTGATCCAAGTGTTGAAATTAGCCTTTTTATCGTCTAGGAGGTACCAGTTTGTTCTTACGAGTTTGTAACAGTGACTCGGAAGTCTCTTTTGGAGTCGCTCTTCCCTATGACAGTACCCCCATGATATATGGCCTATAATCTTTGTTCGGAGATGTGACTTCTCATAAAGTTTCTTTCAGTTTAGCAAGCAAGGCAGGTAGCTGTGTGTTTCTGTGTATGTGAGTATCATCTTTATTTACCACTTGTGTAATCCTCATCTCATTGACAAAATTTATCAGCAATTATTGATTCTTTCAGGGCATTGACTTAAAATTCAGTAGTAATATGGAATAGTAATATGACCTACAATCAGTCGTGTTAAGACACCATGAGAAACACCTATTAGATCAGTATTCTCCATTTATGTTTAAATTTTTGTCGATAAAGTGGTTTCTTATCCATTTAATATATCATAATAATTTTTTTATTCTTCTGATTCATTAAAATGTGTATATAATATTGCGTCAAATGTGTTATACCTAAGTAGGAATTGCTTTTATCAACTAAATTTGTAATTACATAAAAAAGAGCATATTGCTTTTACATATGCCGGTTGTTCTGAATTAAGTTTCCTTTAGGTTTTTAATTCTGAGTCCTGTAAAATGTGGCTTCATTTTTTTGTTTGGAATCAGTGACACCTGACTGGCCTGTAATTGCCCATGTCCTTCTGTTTTATCCTTCAATACAAGCACATCATCTTCAATAATGAGCGCTCTAACCAGATTTTTAGATGTACATTATCTGAACTTGCTGGTCTAAGAAAGTCTAGCTTTAAGAACTCATAGAAATCCTCAGCTGAAGTGAATTGCTTTGTCCTTTTCTGCACAAGAACTGAAAAATCTGCCGTTCCCATTCAGTGAGGAATCAGTACCATTGATTGGTAAGGTTCCTCCATATTTCTCATGTTCCTTATTTTTATGTAAAATATCGAGAAAACACGATTGTATCATTCATTTAATGTACTTTTATTCATGTAATATCACAGATAAACCAACTATAAAATTACAATAGCCTCCCTCGTGTTTTTTTTAATTGCAATAAAAATAAAGAGTTCGTGCAACTTCCAAAATCCTAACATAGCCGGTTTTGTTTATTGCAACGTTGGAAGGGATTCTGTTGGGCAAAGAGAGGGTTTGCTCTGTATTCTGTTCTTAAATCTATGCAACCTTTTAAAAAACTTATTAACAGGTATCTAATATTTGTTGCTTTCCTTCTCCCAGATTGCCTACATTGGTGTTGAAATGCATGCTGTATTATCTAGAGCATGTCTCATTTTTGCTTTTTTCTGTCTCTTATCTTTCCTTCTGCTTTTCAGTGTACACGATTCTGTCTAAGGTGCACTCTGATCGGAATGTGTATCCTTCTGCTGGAGTTCTTTTTGTTCATGTTTTGGAGAGAGAGTACTTTAAGGGGGAATTTCCTCCTTACCCAAAGCCTGGTATGGGATGCTAAGATCTTCCATATTGTATAAAAATGTAGGGAAAAAAAAAAATGTTTAAAAAAATTCAAGTGTATTTAGCATACCTTACAGTTCAGCATATAACATACAAAGGACTGTTTTTAGTTTCTATTGAAATATCTTCAAATAGATATGTGGTCCTACAAGTTTAAAATGTTCTGGTTTGTGATCTCGTTTGTGAAAAAATGCATGTAATTGCGTATTGTGAAAAATGTACTTATATTTGGGAAGGCGTAATAACATGTTATATATCTGAGATTAGGAAGTATGCCTTTTCTTCACTTTCGCATTAAACATGAAATCGTGGAAGTTTAATAATTATGTCTGTTAAAAATGCCGTTTATCTGATCACCATTTCAGATGTAGTATGTATCAGGCTATATGAAGGAGCGCTTTGAAAGCATATCGTAAACTTGAGACAAAATAGAAGATTAAATCAGATATGAGACTACATAATGAATTTTTCTTTCATTTAAAACAAATGTTTCTTTGGATTCAGCCTTCTTCCTATTTTTAGGAGTTTAATGTTAGTAAGCAGTTTGTTTTTAGAGGAAGAGCTGTGATTTCCCAAGTATGGTGTTTTGACATACACCTAAGGCAAACCTAAAGGACTGACATTGGCAGGTTAGAATATGTATAAGCAATCTAGGGGGAGAAAGAGAAAGAGAGAACATTCTGCCCCACATGCTTATCAACAATGAAAAGGAATAATAAATATATAAGTGTATCCTATTCATAGAAATATAACTATCCTATTTTCCTATAAAAATAGGAAAAACCTATAATAAATGTACGGGGCACACATAATCAAGACCTGTTTGATTAATAAGCTTTTGAATTGATTTGAGATTACTGTTTTCAAAACTCACTTTAAAGAAGAAATAAGCTTCTATTAGCATTGGTTAAATTTTGTCATGAATAAACCCAAATATTTTAAAAATTTACTCTCCTTGAAAAATGGATGTTTTTTCTTGACATGTATACCTTGAGTCTTCATTTCATGTAACAGTGACTGGCAGAGTGAAGTTTGCCTCTGTCCCAGTTTTCTCCCATTTTTGGCACATAGATGGAAGGAACCTGGAAATTTTACTAAAAATGGATTGTCTTTCGAATCCTTACAGTCTCAGCCTGTCTTGACATTCATGTGATTCAAAGGCAGTATGAATCTGATCTCAAGTACTGCTGAAATTGTTGTACCCATGGATGATTGTGATCATATCAGAAATTCACTGTAAGGCCAGCTGTTACCATGGTCCTTTTATTTTTATCTGCTGTGCTGGATCATTAGGATGGCCTACCTTGATGAAGGGCAAAACAGAATGTATCACAGATGGCTTTCAGATTTTTCCCCAAATCATGTATGATGCTGGGAATTTTATTATGAATGCAATAGATTAGATTACTGGGACGTCCCAAGAGAATTGCGAGGAAAGTTGCGTTACACCCTGGTGCTGGTTTGGTGTGGTTTTGGTTCCTTTTACCCACAGCCCGATGTGTAAATACGTACCTGAAAACGAGTTAGCCTTTGGCAACAGGTCTCAGTCTCTTTGTTCCTCTCTGGAGGAGATGACAGCTGTTCTTTCTTCACTGGGCTCAGTTTCTGCCTTCTGTACCAGCCTGCCTGTCATCTTCTCTTGTCACTTGTCCTACGATTGCTGCTGTTGCCATTTCAAAGCTGAGCTGGAGGAGCGCAGTGCAGAGGTGTCTGTGCAGGCTCGGAGCAGATTTGCCCAAGTTTGGTGTCTCAGCTGTAAGGTGCTCATGCCTCAATGGTGAGGATCTTGTAGTGCTTACAAAAGCTAAAGTAAACAGAAGTCAAATCTGGCCATTTGGAAGAGTATCAATAAGAACCACGAGAACTGTTGTAGTGGTTTAACTTCAGGGGCTTTTAGCGATTGCATCTGGAGCATTGTATTTAGTAGCCATCAGTGGATCCATTTTGCAGGAATGTCTGGTCCTTTTTTGAATTAATTTGTTCTCTAAAAAAACCTACTGCCAGGCTGTTTGTGCTGAAGACCTGTATGTACATCCTGATGCTAAGAGAAGCTTTCAGACATTGTTGATTACACAGCCACTCTGTACAGTAAGCCCACCCAGGTACACTGGGTTTCCAGAGCCATTATTAAAACCATAAATAAAAGAAGGTTTTTGAGGGAATTAAAGGACTGAGACCTTTGTGCTTTTATCAGTAAGGTTAGATGCTTCAGTTGTAGGTGAAAAATCAGACCTACTAGTTAATGAGTGCAAGCACACAGGGTTAGCCAGGAGTCTAAGAAGTACAAGCACATTCATCTCTGCAGTTGGTTACACTTTTCAGATACGAATTTCTTAATACTTACAAGTGCTGAGTAGGAGTTCACATATTTCTGATATGGTGAAGGTTAGCAATTTTTTTTCTTTTTTTTTTTTTTTTTCTTTTTGGAAATGTTTAGAAGACATAACTGGAAGACAGACTAAGATTTTCTAATGGAAACATCAAAATCAAAGTGTATAGTATTTTCTTGTAAATACTCTAATATAATAATATAATTTTTCTTATCTAGGTGAAGTAAGTAATGATCCTATAACATTTAATACCAACTTAATGGGTTACCCTGACAGACCTGGATGGCTACGCTATATACAAAGGACACCATATAGTGATGGGGTGCTGTATGGCTCACCAACTGTAGAAAATGTGGGAAAACCAACCATCATTGAGGTATTTTCTTTTAAAGGTTCAGAAAAATTTATTTTGTTTTAGAGTATAAGATTCAGAATTGTCAACAAGCATTGCGTCTTTTTTTGAAAAGTTAATTACAATTAAAATGAAAGATTATAAGGCAGGGACAAGGACTTGTGACATTAACATTTTCTCTTAGGTACCATTGTATCCTCTTTTGAGAGAAAACCAAGTTGTATGACATTTCATATTTTACTTTTAAGGTATAACTAGTAAATAGCAATAACCATTTAAGCTTAATATTCCTAGATGAAGCACCTTTAGATTCTTGCCCTTCATCTTTCTAAGAGGCATTTCATTTCAGTAAGTTATGAATATATTAAAGTTGTATTCAAAATGTAGGGGAGGGAACTTTGTGAACAACTGTACTTGAAGAATATCTAAATTCTGAATTTTGTAACATTCTACCCTAAATATGGGTCAGACTTTTCCCTACTGGAAAATATAGCGTTCAGTCGATAAACAGGTTTTGGGTTTGGGTTTTGTTTTTTTTTTTGAATTGAACTATTTTTCATCAAATATTATCTGGTTCATTATTCATGTTTATTGATAGATTTAATTTTAATTAGTGCTTACATGTATTTAATTCTATTCTTGTAAGTGTAACAATAACCCACTACTTTATTTTTGACAATTAGCTATCCAAATGTTTGAAAGCGCCAATTATTCATTCAGCAGCAATTGAAAGGGAAAAAGGACTATATTTTCCGCCATGCATATCATAGATAGCAGACTGAATCAGATACTGTGTGGTTCACAGTGTTGATGAAAATCTGCTCATTAACTTGCTCCAGCCATTTTGCTGCTTCGGCAGTATATTTGTCTTAAACCCTTGATGAGTTTCTTTTTTTCTAAATTGCATTTGATATAGTTGTTCTTCCTCAAGAATGACATCTGCAAATGTTAAGTTATACTGTAGATAATCTCACCCATGCTTAGTT